AATAATAATAATAGTAATAGTAAAACCAGAACAGATGGAAACAAATAAGAAGAGGCTATTATTTTCTTTCAGTAACTTATTGACAATTCTGCACCTAAAAAGTTGGAATAACAGATTAATTTTCCTTTATGTTCCTCTTTCCCCCGTAGACAAAGTATTAAAATTTGTAAGATAACTGGAAAAAAGGACAAGAAACCACGGACACATATCTAATACCAACAGTATCGTAACAGCGACAATAAGGAAACGATGAAAAGTTTTAAAAGGGCAGTTGAAATACGGAGTATTTGGCATCTCATGAATGTCACTACAACCAGGAATGACGAAAACGGACGGGAAATATTTTTACAGGGAAACTGTGGAATACTTTATAATATCATCATCGTTACGTACACTAAGTTAGTTTGACAAAGTGAGGGAATTCTCTAACGCACTGTTAACTCTCTTGTTAAATAATGTAAGTTATGTTCCTATTTAATTCAATGGGGCCTGTATTTCACGTTTATTTTGTCTTTAACAGTATAGTCGCGCTTTGCTAGACTCAATTAGACCATTCCATTTTAGCTGATGTCAGTAATTAACCTAATTTGTGGTTTTAACGCCGTTTTCAACATTGTTAAGTCATTGAATAGACGTGACCTCGGAATGCAATGTCCATCTCCGAGATGACCGAGCCATATTATGGGTTCAGAGATTGAAAACTTCACAAAACGACCCGAGCTCAAGAAAGCCCAGTTGGAGATTCAAACTACGGTCGCTTGCTCCGTAGCCCAGCATGATACCAGTTAAACTAACAGCGCACTCATGGGATGTTCTTTTTATGATGGGGGAGGGTAGACTGGAGGTGAGGGGTGTTTCGTTCGGGAATTATTTATACTAGACAAGACTCGCTGGCTGACTGCTAGAAACAATAGAACGTTTGAAACAATCTCACCACTTGTAACTGAAAAAGCAACAATTGAAATCACGGATTCATACAAATACTTTGGTGTTAAAATCAACAACAAATTTACATTGCAAAATCACGTAAACAATATTGTTAGAAAGCTAAATCAGAGCCTGTACTTTCTGAGGAAACTTAGGTCTTTCAATCTGAATCCATCCATCCTTCAGATATTCTACACCACCACAATAGAAACTTTGATAAATTTTGGTATCTGTTGCCATGGTAGCAATTTGGGAAGGCAGCACATCATGAAAATTAACAAGTTGATCAGAAAGGCTTTAAGAACAGTTGGTTGAGACCTAAGTAATTTTGAATATCTACACAAAACAAATGCAGTTTTTGGAACACCTGAATAGACATAAGGGTCTTGAACATCTAGCTCTCACTGGCATTATTGAGGGCAAGCGAGGCATGTGTAGGCCCAGAACAACATACTTAAGGAACCTAAACAAATGGGTAACAGGGAAAGATCAGGGAAACGTAGCTTTTTTGAGAGCATCCGAGCAAAAGGAATGAATGGAAAACTATGATCGCCGATATCTGTCACAGATCTGGCACTGGATGATGATGATGATGACGCAAAACAAACGTTCTAACAAAGGCGGAAATAATACTTAGTGACCATAGCCACCCACTGACATCGGAATTTCAACTGTCGACCCACAGTAAACGATACATTACCAAAAAACCAACAACAGACAGATATAGATATAAAACTTTATTTGTACCAACTGCAGTGAGGTTACAAAACACACAGTGTTACAAATGAAACAGAGAGAGAGAAAGAGAGAGAGAGAGAGAGAGAGAGAGAGGCAGAGAGAGAGAGGGAAAGGGAGAGGGAGATAGAGAGAGAGAGAGAGAGAGAGAGAGAGAGAGAGAGAGAGAGAGAGAGAGAGCATGTTTTACGGAGCGGATTGTCATGTATTTACTAATGTCATGCCTTGCTGTGAGTGTATGCATGAGTGCACCTAACCTTTGTAACGTCTACTGCCATTGTCAACGACCAAGACAAAATTCTCCCTGCGAGATGAATAAAGAATGTCATTGTCATCGTTATACCAGGGTGGCAGAAAATATTCTATTGACACGTACGAGACTTGAGGTATGTGAGTATGAGTGCTGTCAACAAAACTTCCAAAAAACAGCAAAAAGATTTTCATGTCAAATTTAACATCATTCTAAGGCAAAACACGTTTTTCCAAGACAAACTGGGCTATATGACATTGGGAATCAATTATTCATGTCCGATGTGACAAGATGAAAAACCAGGATAACTTTGTAAATACATTGTAACTTACTAAGCTTTGTCAGAATAATATGCAAGAATTCAGAATTGAGTTTTTGACTTTATAATCACGTGATCTAAAGTTTGAAATCCAGAGGAACCCTTGGAATTAAAGCACTGTACCCGAGATTCATGTTGTTTTCTACACTCATATGCTGCATGTTTTTCTTTTTACTTTGAATTAAGAAGGCCGCCCAGTGGGCAGGGTTAAACGGCAAAAAAAAGCCCATTTTTTATTCGTAAAAACCCCC